CTTTTCTTGTGAAATTTCGAAGAAACACGCAGCGTACCTCCTTTGTTTTTTCCTCCCTGTCAGCGCACTCCTGGAGCACCGAGGTAGTGAAGACTTGAAATGCAACTGACTTGACCGTTAAAGTCCTTTTATTAAGCAAAAGTTAGACTGAGACACACTTTTACTATAAAGTTGAGCAAACAAACAATGGTTTTCAGGCGTTTATCTTGTTAAATTTCTAAGAAATGAACAGCAGCTCGTCCCTCTGCGCGTGCCCGCTTCCGCTAATCGGGCTTTGAAATGCAACTGATTTGACCGTCAAAGTGTATTAATTAAGCAAAAGTTTGACTGAGACACACCTGTACTGTAAAGTTGAGCAAATAAATACAGAGTCAGCCACTCCTCAATATTTCCTGTTTGTATCGAAACTTCCTGAAAACAGGAAGCTGGTTTCCTAACATGTCACAACTAATCTGTAAGACTTGGGTCATCCTGAGTGGGTCAGATATTTTCAAGATACCGGTATTTGTATGATGTGATGAAACACAAATGTTGAGACACACACACAGATGTAGTCTTCTTTAATCATGGAATTGCTGGTTTACTGGGGATCTTTTTTAATACCCACTTGTTATTCATATTTAAATTTTCTACAGACAACCTTATATTCTCTCCAAACATGAGGCAAGAGGCTTATCAGTTGGTGAGACAGAAAGATGACTAAACATTTCCTCCACTCTGTTTCATGTCTCACAAGTGGCTTCTTTCCAGAACAGTCTTGTCTTCAGCAAGCCTGCCTGGCTGTAGTACCGATCACCAAACAACTCCATCAGTTGTTCAAAGAACAATATAATATTGAATTTCACTGGCAAATTGATGGCTATCATGTTCACTTTTGTCTTCCTGATGTTAAAAGCTCCACTTTTTCACCCACTGTTGAGACAGTGGTCCTGCTTTGTTACAGCCTGGATTTAAATAAAAAAAAACAGCCATCCATCATCTTTACTCACTTCTTCCTTTTCAGGTCACGAGGGTCACTGGTGTCCATATCCAGCAGTCACTGTGCGAGAGGCGGGGGACACCCTGGACAGGTCTCCAGTCCATCACAGGGACACATCGAGACAAATGAGACAAACAACCATTCACTCTCTCACTCACAACTAGAGACAATTTAGAGTTACCAGTCAGCCTAACATTCATGTTTTTGGTCTGTGGGAGGAAACTGGAGTACCCGGAGAAAACCCACATATGCACAGAGAGAACATGCAAACTCCACCCAGAAAGGTCCCCAGCTGGGATTTGATCCAGCAACCTTCTCTCTGAGAGGCAGCAGCTCTACAAACTACACCATTGTGCCCCCCAACAAAAAGCATATTTAAATGTATGAAGGCATTTAATCTCTCAAAATCAATTCAACAGCAACAAGTCTTTTTGTGTATTTTTTGACAGCTTGGCCCATTGAAATAAAAACCGTCCTGAATGGCCAACAACAGTGCAGTTTGTGTTAATGAGACAGGATTAAATGCCGCCATCTTGGCAGGTAATACGTGGGGCTTTTAGTTATTATTAGTATTAGTAGTAGTAGTGTTCTTATCATATTTATTAACCTTTATTTAACCAGGCAAATCCAATTGAGATCACAGATCTCTTTGCAAGGGAGACCTAAAGGCAGCCTAACATCCTGATGCATGCTCAAGCATGCACGCAGCCTAACATGGTACCTGGAGAAAACCCATGCAAACATGAGGAGAATATGCAAAAGACCCCAGGTCCAACACGGGGATTGAACCCAAGGCCTTCTTAGTTCCTGTTATGCCCCTTTTGCACTGCTCCTACTCAGCCCCAACTCTGCTCAGCTCACCACGGAAATATCCCTTTTGCACCAGTACTTTTTAACAGATTTTTATCTGATTCTGGACCTTGTTTTGTCCCTGCTTCTCTGGTGGGACCGAGCGAGCTGACTCTGGACCAAAACGTGAATGCAGGACACTGATTGGTCAGGGGGAGGAGTCACTGGATCTCAGAAACTTTTCACTGATCCACCATTTGCAATTTATCGGAACGCGGAGCAGCAGCTGGATCTATTTTTAAGATTTTAAAACAATAATGACAACACCGTGTTTAATGCTGAAGTCCAGACGTTTTTTTGTGTTTGGTGACCGACAACAAAATTTGAGTGAGCAGAGTCACCGCGCAGGGCCATACGAGCTGCCGACCCGTTGAAGCACGCGAGGCCGAACCCCGAACCTCCAAGCCCTGGAAGGCGGGAAGGCCGGGACAGAGGGTGGAAACTTTTTTTTTTTTTACATTTTATATATAATTTTTTTTTCCATTGAAGAATAAAAATAAATAAACGGTGCAGGCTTTATCAAGAACTCCTGTTTACACTTTAACTTTATTAAATAATTTGTTAATTAAAGTTAATTCAGCTGAAAAATCATAAAAAGGCAAAATTATTGGATCTCTCAAACATGTTTAAAGAAGAGTTACAGACTTTGGTTCAACTTTATTCTAACCCACAGATGTACAAATCACAAAACAAGAATTACACTTTAAATCACTCAAATAAAATCTGTATACAAGAAACAAAACCTCATATCTAAATTGAACAATAAAAGTAGATACAATGAGTGCAAATACATCAAATGATGAAGAAAAATATAGAATTTTAAATATAATATAATTTTAAATATAAATGTGTTTGTAGGATCTGGTTCATCAGATTTAATTCAGTTTATTTATAAAGCACCAAGTCACAACAGAAGCCCTCTCAGGGCACTGAACAGAAACATCCATCCATCCATTTTCTTTACCCGCTTATTCCATTTCGGGTCACGGGGGTCGCTGGTGCCCATGTCCAGCAATCACTGTGCGAGGGGCGGGGTACACCCTGGATGGGTCGCAAGTCCATCACAGGGCCACATAGAGACAAACGAGACAAACAACCATTCACTCTCTCATTCACACCTAGGGACAATTTAGAGTTACCAATCAGCCTAACATGCATGTTTTTGGTCTGTGGGAGGAAACCAGAGTACCCGGAGAAAACCCACGCATGCACGGAGAGAACATGCAAACTCCACCCAGAAAGGCCCCTGGACCGGGGTTTGAACCAAGGACCTGCTCGCTGAGAGGCAGCAGCTCTACCAGTTGCGCCACCGTGCTGCCCTGAACAGAAACATTCATATTTTAAAATAATAATTTAACATTATTTATCTGAGGAGCAGAATGCTTGAACTGAAGAGTTCAAGAACTTGAACTTTTAATGAACGAAAGTTCATTAAAAGTTCATTAGCAGGATTTTGGATTCTGGACACGCCTCCAGAACTGGTCCTGAAGTGCAGTGCTAATCAGGCTGATCTGAGCAGAGTTGGGGCTGAGTAGGAGCAGTGCAAAAGTGACACAAGACTGTTGCAGAAGGGGCATTAGTATGGCTGCAGTCTATTTCTGAGAAAAAAATAGCTAGACTCAGCCTAGAAATTGCACGTTTTGCAAGTAGCTGTTAGACATCTGAACCTTTACTTCAAATAATCTTGTATTTTGTTCAGTATTTTCTATGGAAATACTTGTTTAATACATCATTATACCATGGACCTTTACACTTTAGGAAGGAAGAATTATGAGAAAAAATACTTTGTTATGACATGATCTGAAGGTTTAGAGTTGAACCCACGTGGAGGTAGACACAAGAGACTCCCAGGTAAAAATAAAGAGTATATTTATTGAAACACAAACAAAAGCAAAAGCTCTCGGGGCAGCAAAACTTAGATCAAGGAGGGAGACAATGGAGGAACAGAACAGAACCTGCCAGTCTTGAAAGCACAATCCATGGATAAAGGAGGAGCACAGAGAAACTGAATTTATAGGGAGGCTGACAAGAGAAAATGACAAAGAGCTGAAGTGATTAGGATTACAGTAGAGACAGGTGAGACGGGGGTCCAGTGGGTGGCCCAGAGACAGTCCAGAATGGGGCAAGAGTTCTGGTGGGCGGCCCAGAGATGGCCCAGAACGCGGCAAAAGTTGCAGAGTCTCTGCTGCCATCTGTGGATTTTAAGGACGCATATTTAATTGGATTTTCAATAACTGGTTCCTGCTTTTGTGGATTCGGCTGGCTGGTTTATCTACAATAAAGGAAGTTGTCGGCAGCAAATTTGGACCCGATCATGCTGCTTGCCTTTTTGATGGCTTGGTTCTTGTCTCGTGTACCCAGACTCAAATGCTTTGGGCTGAATGGATCAGATCTTGGGGATTTTACTCAGTCACGTTCCATTGGTGTGGCCATGTTATTCTGGACATTTCGGAACCGAGTTGACCAACACAGACTCAAGGTAGATGTCATTAAGTCCTGCCTGTCCCCAAAACAACTGTGTGCTTATCTAAATTTTGGTTCCCTTGGCTGGTCTTGAAGGCCATCTTATCTGAATTCGCCTGGAGAAAATGTGATCTGACGCTCAGCACCCCCTCCCTGAGGAATTTCCAACTGATAACCAGATAAACCAGCTGAATAAACTTTGTGTCATCATTTCAGGACTCTTGGATTCTTATAGATGTTATCCTGGGCCATTCCTCGACATAACTTGAGAATGTTTATGGATCTCACCGGAGGACATTGATTGATTACAGTGACCTCGAGAGCATCTATAAGCATTGTTGACCGCTCTCATCTCCAATTGCAGAATGTCTACGTAAATATGTGCTTGTTTGTGCAAGGTGTTTTTTTAATATTAGAGGGGTTTTTTCTCAGGAAAGAAAAAAAAAGTCTGATACGAATTTTTTTCGCCTCCAACTCCTACATGTGTCCAGTTAACCACTGGTTTTGTCTGTCCAAACACCAAACAGGTCTCACTTGTAAATGAGTCTTCGAGACTCAATGTGATTTATCTGTTTAACTAAAGGTTGAATGAATGAATGAATGAATGAATGAATGAATGAATGAATGAATGAATGGCCACTAATTAATCAAATATATGAGTCTACATCAGAACTATCGATGATGTTTGGAAACCTTATTGGTTATTCTTTCATTCCCTGAAATGTTCCCAGCCTTGTATTTCTGAGAATAATGCATCCCCAGGGCAGGCAGTGTAGTTCACCACCTGTCTGTGGCCGTGGATGGTGAAGTTGACGGCAAGTCCATTTCCATCCACAGCACAACGCACCAACTGGTGACGTAGCAGGTCCATGGCGTGACGAGACGGCAGTGTGGCTGTGTAGTTGCCAATGATTGACACACCATAGCCTATGGCATTGTGCCCCCTCGTGTGTCTGCCAACCGTGTTCCAACCCCTGCCCTCATAGACATATCCATCAGAGCCGACCACGAAGCTGAGGGCACAGAGATCAAAGCGGGTGTCAATGACGGTAGCAAACAGTTTGATTTCTTTAAAAAATGTAAAATACTCTTAGTAATTCATGAAGTGTGGTGCAGAGTAACAGTTTTATGTGTGAACAAAGTTCTAATAAATACTCCTGCAAACAGCAAATGTATAGAATCATCTCAATGTACAAAGGAATACTTTGGTTAAAAAATCAATTCTAAAAGAAATCAGAGACTCAGAGAGTGTCTTTTAAGGGATTAAATAAATACATTTATTGTTCTATCAGGCTTTGTTACTTTTCAGACTTTAGAAACAAGGTCAAAGAACACAATAAAGCTCCACAACTACAGTGATGCTTGAAAGTTGTGAACGCTGTATATATGTCTATAGTTCTACATAAACACTGTTAGATTTTCACACAAGTCCTAAAAGTAGATAAAGGGAACCCAGTTAAACAAATGATACAAAAATATTATACTTGGTCATTTATTTATTGAGGAAAATGATCCAATATTACATATTTGTCAGTGGCAAAAGAAAACCTTTAGGATTATCAGATAATTTGAAGGTTAAATTAGAGTCAGGTGTTTTCAATCAGTGGGATGATGATCAGGTGTGAGTGGACATCCTGTTTGATTTAAAGAACAGGGATCTATCAAAGTAAAAGGTATGAACAATTAATGTATTATCACTTTGAAAAGCCTCTGCTTGGAAAATAAACGAGCTAGCAACTAGTCTGAATATGGCCAAGACCAAAGTAGATGGCTAAAATCCTAAAACTGCTCCGCTCTGTAAGAACTTTTAATCTGTTCATGCCAAGTCAGTTTAACAAACCTCTACATAACTCTACATTTCTCATGACTTTTTTTTCCATTCATTCAACCTTTATTTAGACAGGTTAATCTCATTGAGCCTCGGAGACTCCTTTACAAGAGAGACCTGATTTATTTAACAAAGAATGATGACAACAGTGGATAACAACAATAGACAATCACAAAAGAGGCATACAAATTTATTATTATTATTTATTTTTTGCATGATGTTCTGTGGTTAAGTGGAATAAATATATGTTTTGGGTGCAGCAACAGTGAACTGTAACAGTTCTAATGTAGCCTGGGGTCAAATGCAGGATAATATTTTTATATTTCTATTGAAAAAGTAATGTAATGCAAAACTGACTGCAGTGCACTTAAATAAGTGTATGTGAATGAACTGCTATGATAAAGTTTGAAGTTGTTTAAAGATGAAAAAATATGTTTTGAAAGTGTCTGAATGGACTTTTCATATGGTTCTAACAAACCCACTCCGTAGTATTTGCCTTAAATTATATCAAACTGTAGAAACCGGAGTTTTGTTTTAAGATGGCATCAACCCACTTTTATCTTTTATCTTGGGCCTACTTGGACTGTCAAACTTAAACTTTATTTCTTTAAACCGAGGTGAAATTACAACCAGTGAGATATTGTTCAGAACTTGTTTAAAATGGCCAAAGTATCCCTTTTAAGGTCAGTTACCTGTATCCAATGTCGCTCCATCCACGATCTTCCTGGTGGAAGCGCTGCATGGCCCTCATGTCACGGGAGCAGCTTGGAAAGGATAAACAGGGCGATGAGGGTTCATAGGTGTGGTGAATGTAGAGAAACTGGAGGGGAAGGGACAGTGGGATCGGTGTACCCCGGTAAGCTTTTGCCCCCCACTGGCAGCGAGGGATAATTTGAGGGCAGTCTGCATGTAGGACAAGATTCATGAGTTAGAATACTAATACTGTGTTTCCACCTGAATCTAACAATCCATAAATATTGATGACTGTCAGTCAGAGGTGTGACCAAGTCAGTGTTTTGCAAGTCTCAAGTAAGTAGCAAGTCTTTATCTTAAAGTCCCAAGTCAAGTCTCAAGTCGACAGGCAAGTGTCAAGTCAAGTCCCAAGTCCATCCATCCATCCATTATCTTTACCCGCTTATTCCATTTTGGGTCACGGGGGTCGCTGGTGCCCATGTCCAGCAATCACTGTGCGAGGGGCGGGGTACACCCTGGACGGGTCGCAAGTCCATCACAGGGCCACATAGAGACAAACGAGCCAAACAATCATTCACTCTCTCACTCACATCTAGGGACAATTTAGAGTTACCAATCAGCCTAACATGCATGTTTTTGGTCTGTGGGAGGAAACCGGAGCACCCGGAGAAAACCCACGCATGCACGGAGAGAACATGCAAACTCCACCCAGAAAGGCCCCTGGACCGGGGTTTGAACCAAGGACCTGCTCGCTGAGAGGCAGCAGCTCTACCAGTTGCGCCACCGTGCTGCCCAAGTCCCAAGTCTGAAACTTGAAATTGAAAGTTCTTTTGAGTTTTTTTTAACAAAGTTGACATGATATGTTAAATGTAAATAATGGACCATGTGTTCTTTTTTAAATCTGTATTTATCTCAAATCATGATGAAACACGTTCAACTGAACTTACAAAGTGTTAAAAAAAGTTATTCTGAAATTGCACCTTTACACCTTTATATTGCACAGTTCAGTTAAATTTAGCTGCAAGAATAGTTTTCCTTTAAACTATAATTTTACAGAACATTCAGTGAAAAATGCAAAAGCAAAACTCCATGTTCAGACAAAAAGTGCTGGCATTTCTACAGAACATTACAAAGAACTATCACAGCAAATTTATTTCCTCTCTTCTCATCTGGTCCCTTAGTGAACATACTGTATGTTTGTATGTGTCCATGTGTGAGTGACAAAGGGAAACAAAGCAATTATATGAACTGAACAATGAACAGGAACATGCACTTTAAGGTATTTCACTTAACTATTCTGCTTTGCATATCCTGATGCATGCTCAATAATCCAGGTAGAAAAATCCAAAAAAGTTCAATCTGGTCCTCTGGACATTCAAAAAAAAAACAACCAAAAAACAAGACAAAGCAAAAAAATATAGAAACGTTTCGTCTCTCATCCAAGAGACTTCCTCAGTCTGAGGTGCTGTTTTCAGCTCAGTCTCTTAAATAGCACCTTCTCAGAGTGGATCAACCAGTTTGCTGCTGACAACCAAAACCAGCTGATCACATGCTCAAGAAGGACCATCGGCCTAACATGTTCATTACTCAGAACAAGAGAATGTTCTGTCCATCAGCAACATCCAGGTAGGGACTTAGCTGGACTGTTTTGTGTCAGTAGGTCACGTGACATGAAAGCTATTGAAAAAAAATTTTCTCAAGAATGTTTGGTTCGGTAATTTATTGACCGTCCCTAAACAAACCATTGCACCTCTGAGGAGGAGATAGACTGAGCTCAGCTGGCTGAAATCAGGCTGCCTGCATCGGAACGAACGAGAGGAAGACACCGCAGAATCCGCGGAGCTCGAATATCCAACCTAAAATTAACGTCACTGTGGTTTTTAAACTTTAGATTATGAGTAAAACATCAAGTATTTCCATGTAAACAGGTCAAAGTCCAAGTCAAGTCATAAGTCTCTGAACATTTTTCGAGTCAAGTCTAAAGTCATAATATTAATGACTCGAGTCCAAGTCATGTGACTCAAGTTCACACCACTGCTGTCAGTAGATGATGAGTAAAAATAAGTGAAAAATAAATTCAGTGTTGAGAAAGTGGACCAGTTTGTCCTTTAGAACAAGTAGAAAGTAGTTATTTTCTCTTTTAGAAGGCAACTTTTGAGGCAGAAAAAGGACTTTAAATTTATTTAATAAGGCTCTTGTGAAAAACAAAGGCCAAGAGTTAGAAACAACCTTTTTTTTTTAATCTCTGATTGGTTAAAAGTTAACAGGAACACGCCCTTTTCCGGGGATAAGCCAGTCATATCTGTTTTAACACAGACAATTAAGTTTCACTTTAATCTTGACTTAAGAGAAAAAACTTCAGTGAAATAGACTTCCTAGAGAAAAGAGGAGAAGCACCTGCAAACGTCTCGAGAAAAACGAGAAAAGAGACGAAAAAGATTAGCAGAACCCAGCATGTAACCGTCACCAGAACCCAGGGCTCCAGCTGTCTACCTGGCAACCGGTATCCCACTGCAGAGGAGTGTTAAATCCCAGCTGACTGCCAGAACCAGTAACCATGGACCTTCGTCCCTTCAACTGATGACAGGTGAACTATGAGGAGACTTTAGCCTCACAGTCACCAGAACATCTCACTGGTACCATTAGCAGCTGTCAGAACCATGCTCTGACCAATCTACATCCTGGTAGGAGAGACTCTTCAATGTATTTCTGGTGACCCTACATCACAATAAACTTATCAGACAAACCTAGCTCCCTTTAGACACAATTTTAACCACTTCACAAACAGAAACCAGTCCCAAGTCTGCCTTTTAAGTTTCACAAATTTTAACAATCAATCAGTCCTTTGATTCATCATAATTTGAATTTGTGATTATTTTGACTTATATGTGTGTATTAATTGATTTGATGGTCTTTAAACATGAGGAAAAGGAGCCACGTAATTTGGGGTAAGACTGATTAGACTTATTTCCTCTGTAGAAAGGTGGTGCCCAAAAACGAGGTTATTTGCATAATACATGCACATTTTATTAGCTTAACTCATAACTGATAATTAACCATATATTTACACAATATATTGCTTATATATATATATATATATATATATATATATATATATATGTAGATATGTGTGTGTGTGTGTGTGTGTGTGATAAAACAAGCTCTTCTCCCATTTATTGTCTTTAATCTTGACTATCACATACATTCATTCATTCAACCTTTATTTATACAGGTTAGTCTCAGTGAGTCGTGAGGACTCATTTACAAGAGAGACCTATTTTAAACTAAGAACACAAACGTGATGAAACAAAAATGTAATTTGCAAATAAAAGGTTTCATTGTTGTCAGTATATTTTACTGTACGTGTCAATATGTCTAAAGGGGATTTCATGTTCTGAAGGTTTATGCTTTTAATAAAACTAATAAAAAACAATTAAGACTGTTATTTTCTCCCTAGCTTCATGCAGTGCTCTTGATGTGTTGTGTATGTAGGACACAGAATATTTATCTGCTTACTGCATTTTAAAGAGATCAACGTATTTGTGGCAGAGCTGAATCTTCTTTGCAACAACTTCATCTCCCAGTGTTGGAAGTACTCATTGCTTTTGATCAAAAATAACATTTAAATTGCAGGTTTAGGGTAACAACATAAAAAAAGAATACACCGGGGGTGAACATATTTGCTACACAGCTGTAAATACTCACCCCAGTACCTGTATACAAATGTCTTCAGTCCATCCTTCACTGCCTTTTGTACGCCGGTGTCTTTAGCAATCCACTCTGTCTTCTCCAACTTCCACACCAAAGCAAGTGTCTCCATGATTTGGTTTTGAAGATCAGGTGACTCCAGAAGTGCTCTGGAGAGCTCCCTTCTCCTTGGGCTGACATGGCTGGTCACAGTATCCAGACCCTGCTCCTCATTCAGAGTAAAACTGTAGTATCCTTTTAAGATCTCACTGAGGTTCTGGGGCCGTTCAGACATAGGCAGACTGCTGAGGTCCATGCCCAGGATAACCCCATCCATGCCACCATTGATTATAGCGTCTGTGGCCAGAGTGGCAGGTTGAGATAGCTTGTACACCTTTGGGTGGTCTACATTGTCCCAGCACCCGTTAGGCCCTATACGTAGAGATGGTGGGATGTCCTGAAGGCTGAGGAACGAGAGACCTAGCATCCTGCCAAGGGTGAGAGGGAACAGTCCAACAGCTCGAGTCCCCTCCATCTGAGCCTTCAGTCCTGATTCAATCCCCAGTAACAAGGGTGCAAGTGCCACTGTGGTGCCGTCTGGAGCAAGAACCACCCCCCGTTCTTCTCCATGGTCTGTCACAATGTGGTGGATGGCCTTATCAAAAAAGCTGAAGGATGATGCATTAAGAATTGATTTCTCTAGAAACTCCGTGTCATTGAGATGATATGATGCGCCCAAGAAATGAATGGTCATGACATCATCATGGCCAGCAGTCCTTCGCAGGGCTCTGACCAGAGTCAGAGGCGACAGGTCAGAGTTGGAGTCTTCGACCTGCTTCACTGCACGAATGAAGCTTTCCATGCTACGCAGGTGCACAACTGAAAATAAAGAAAGAAAATACTAAAAAATAAAAGACATTTCATTACACTAATGAATGACAGTCAAATAAATTCATGTTATTGGTCTATCGCAGTTGGATCAACATTTTAACTTGAATTGTTCTGAAAATATAAAAGTAAACTGGAAATAAAAGAAAGAACTAGAATTCCTTTAAAAATCCATCTTTGATGTCAGAGTTTCAAACTCTGATAATTTTATGGCCTAATGATGAAAAATGACGGAGTTAAAGCCATTTTGGTCAAACCTTGTAAAATGTTCTGAAAGCAATATTGCAAGATCTCGTCGAATCTGTCACTTGAAATGTGTGATGTGAATGACTCCCAGCTACTTTCACACTTTGTTCACCGTCTGTAAAACTGACTGTTATAGCCATTTTTGTATTTTCCAAGAAACTTTCTGTGGCAGCCATTTTGAACTGGATTGACTTTAAAAGTTAATAAGTTGTAGACGTACATCTGGTGATTAATTTATTTTACAATTTCATGAAAATCTGTTAGCTGGTTTATGAGATATTTTGCTAACAGACAAATAAATGCATGAATTAAGAACAAGGAGTTAAGTAAGTTTTTATATTGTTATGGAATCGTTTTGTACTTTTTTTAAATGAATAAACTTTATACCATACCATACCAAGTAGGTTTGGGGATGGAATAAAGTGGAGACAACTGAGACACTGGGAAACTAAGGCCATGTTTTTCGCAACTCTTTTTTTGGAGTGAAACTGGAGCTTTTCTTCTGCCGTTCAGCCGTTCATGAACACAACAACGGCCGTCACGCTCTCTGACACAAAAGGTTTCAGGATCCAGGTCTTAGAATGAATGTTTTTACCTGTATAGGTGTGAAATACTCTGCAAGTGTGAAATCTTACATGCACGCTACAGATTGTTGCAGTCAAAAGGATTTCTGCACAAACAAATTAATGTCAGAGAATAAAGTGTTTTTTTGTGCTACTCGTCTTTTTGTGGGAGCAAATTAAATGTAGGAACAAACCAACAACATCCTAGATCCAAACAGACAATGGTGTATTCACCAGTTTGGATGTAACTGAGATCATGCTGAAACTGAATGCATGATGATTGCAGAATCAGGGTTGCCAGACATAATTACAAACATAATTACATTTCTCCCCTCCCCTCCTTTTCTTTTTTTTAATCACCAAACACAACACACACCTCATCTACAACACCCTCACTCAGCCCATATGACAGTTTGGGTCAAAATACATTACTGTAGTTTTAAAGCGACAACATATTATTTCCTATCTGGCAACCCTACATTGATCCATGCAAACACATCTTTTGTTTTTAACTTTCCCCAATAAACATTGATGATACATACAGGAACATCAAAATAAAGAAGGGAATATGAAAAAAAAACACACAAGGAAGAACATGACAAAATAAACTGAATCCACAACAACTACCCACAGATTTTACCATACCATACCATTTTATTTATAAAGCACTTAAAACAGCGACAAGGCCAACCAAAGTGCTGTACAGACAAAACAACAGGTAACACACAAAGCAATATACAAAATGAAGTAAATCAGAATATAGACATAAAAACAATGCAGATAATGACGACAAACCAGTGTGGAGCATACAGGATCAAACACAGATCATCTGGTGTTGAAAGCTACTGAATAGTAGTGAGTTTTTACACAGGACTTGAAAACCGAGAGGGGGCCTGTCTGACAAACAGAGGTAACTCGTTCCAAAGTCTTGGTCCTGCTACAGAGAAGGCCCTGTCACCTCTGCGCTTAAGACGAGTTTCTGGAACTGTGAGGAGCAACTGGTCCACTGACCTCAGGGAGCGTGGTGGGACATAAGGCTGTAGCAGATCAGAGAGATGGGGGGGACACTGTTCAGTGATTTGTAGACATACATGAGTATTTTGAACTGGATATGAAAGTGAACCGGTAACCAGTGCAGTGAGGCCAAAACTGGAGTAATGTGCTCTCTTTTGCCTGTACTGGTTAAAAATCGGGCTGCTGCATTCTGGACCAGTTGTAGTCGTGCTATGGAGGTCTGACTGGTACCAAACAGGAGCGAATTGCAGTAATCAAGCCTAGACGTAATGAATGCATGTATTACTGTCTCCAGGTTATTTTTGGACAATATGGGCTTCAGTTTAGACAGCCGCCTCAGTTGGAAGAAACATGATTTAACAATCATGTTTACATGATTGTTAAGTTTCAGGGAAGGGTCCATTATCACGCCCAGATTAGTGACTCTTTGTTTTTCTGACAGGGTTAGAGCGGAGAGGTCGATGCAGTGGTTTGTGATCATGTCAATGGGAGGGAACAACATGACTTCAGACTTATTTTCATTGAAACTTAAGAAATTTAAAGCCATCCAGTCCCTGATGTCAGCCAGGCAGTCGAGCAGAGGTTGAATAGAGCATGTACCATTGTGTCTTAGGGGGAAGTAAATTTGACAGTCATCAGCGTAGAAGTGGAAGGGCATGTTGTGTTTCCGGAAAATAGCACCAAGCGGCAGCAGGTATAAAGAGAATAGGAGGGGACCCAGTTTGGACCCCTGCGGAACCCCCCATTTAAGCTCTGCCGCTGCAGAACTAAAATCCTTGATGGAGACACAAAAGGATCTGTTAGTGAGGTAAGATCTGAACCAATTGAGGGCTGACCCTGTGATGCCCACCCACTGCTCCAACCTAGCAATGAGGATCTCATGGTCGATGGTGTCAAAGGCGGCTGTGAGGTCCAATAGGACAAGCAGCACAGAATCACCGGTATCTGTGGTTAAGAAAATGTCATTAAAGACCTTCAGCAGGGCAGTTTCAGTGCTGTGGAGAGGTTTAAAGCCAGATTGGAAAAGCTCTAAGATGGCGTGATCCTCCAGGAAGCACTTCAACTGGGACTCGACTATTTTCTCCAGTACTTTAGAAACAAATGGGTGTTTGGAGACTGGCCGGTAGTTGGAAACGACTGAGGGGTCAAGGTTTGTTATTTTCAGGAGAGGCTGGACAGCAGCATGTTTAAAGGATTTTGGCACCACGCCAGTGGATAAACTACTGTTTACTATATCGAGAATGGACGGACCTAGAGTAGGAAAAACCTCCTCTAGTAGTCGAGGGGGGACCACATGAAAAGGGGGAACCAGACGATTTCAAGCTGCACATGACCTGCTCTAGAGAAGATAGAGTGATGGGTTCAAAATGGTCAAATGGAGCTACAGATTGAGGTGGGATGGATGGGTCATGAGTTGGAGGGGAAATGAGAGCCCGGGTGGTCGCAAATTTTTCCAAAAAGAAATGTAAGAAGTTGTCACACAGCTCAGTCGAGGCTTCCAGAGGTGATGGTTCAGTGAGGTGGAGAACAGAGTTTAGGGTGGAGAAGAGGACACGTGGGTTGCGAGAGTTTGAGGTAATTATATCAGAGAAGGATTTGGATTTAGCAACTTTTACTGCTTTCTGATAACAGCGCCAACTCTCTTTAAGTATTTGAAAAGAGACCTGCAGCCTGTCTTTCCTCCACTTGCGCTCCGCCTTCCTGCACTGCTGCCTAACGGCCTTGGTGACGTCACTCAGCCAAGGTTCTGCTCTGAGTTTTGATTTTTTAGTTTTAACAGGAGCGACATGATCCAGAGTCTTTAAGCAGACAGAGTTGAACTGTGGTGTCAGCTCCTCACTAGTAGTGAGAAACACTGGGGGCTGAATTATCATTTCAGAGTTATAAACATCTGTGAAACGTGCGGCAGTGAAGTGGAGTTAGGAGTTAGGAGTTAGATGATTTTGAGAGCTGTATTAAGGTCCACTGAATTCTAATATGTGTAATTAGACTGACAGTGATTCACATTGCATATTGCACTGTATTGTGATTAAAATTAAACTGTATTATTACTCAAGTTGAACTGCATTGTGATTAGGGCTAAATTGTATTGCATCTTATCGGTTTTTGCTGCTCATGTAGCTTTATGAATCCCGTTGTTGACAGTGTAACAAGATGCGTTTCATAACCAGAGATGCACAGTGCACCAAAACATGAAATACAATAGTATTAACACAAAGAGAAAACCAATTAATTATCAAAAAATAAGTTACATAAATCAGTGTTTCTCAAAGTGGGGGCGAGGACTGTTTTTTTTGGAGGGGAGGGGGGGGGGCTAGGACCCCAAAAAAACTGGAGAGAAGAAGATTAAAAAATAAAGCAAAAATAAAAAATAGTAATAATAAAAATTGCCCACTAGGGCAATCTGTGTCTGTCATTTCCAGATCAACACGCTTGAGAGCGATTAGATTTCTTTAGTTTTCTTCTTCTGTTCAACTGTTTGTTGAAAAGTTTTGTTTTGTTTTTTCCCAGTGGTAATATAATACAGTGTTTAAAACATGTTATTATTATTAACATTTTTATGCTCAGCAGCTGTAATAATTAATTGAATATAGTGAATAAAAGTTAAAACACTCTAAAAGTTCATGTTTCTTTACATATTTTGTAGCCTTGTTTGTGGGTTTGCGAGGGGGGCCTTGTCCAGAAGCTAATGCTGTTTTTTTTTTGTTGTTTTTTTTGTTTTTTTTTTGTGTGTGGGGGGGGGGGGGCATGGCATGGAAAAGTTTGGAAATCCCTAGATAAATAGCACCTATAAAACATATCAAATAATGACATCTCTCTTTCACCTCCAAATATATCTGACAACATAAATTCTTATAATTGTATTTTTAAATTGGCATTTAAGATGAATACATTTGGAAAATCTTTTTGATGTGCCTTAAAATCATTATATAGTATATTAAACAGTGCAAGCACTGAAAGTTAGTGTCATTGGTGCATAAGTGAGAACTAAACACTGAGAGCAAATGTCTGATTGGAAACACAACAAGAGTGAATAAATGTGAAGCACTTTGTAAAACCCAAGCCAGGATGAAAAGGTGCTAATAATTTACCATTTAAGTGACACAAAATAAAAAATAAACTATTTAATGTCGTAAAGAATTGAATGCAGGTGAGCTCACCTGTCGGCCTGCTGTGGACACAGAGCAAGTTGAATAAAGCCAACACAAAAAGCATCCGTCCAAAGAAAGTCATGTTGCAGGTCCTGGTTTCTTTAAAAGTTTCTCTAAAAAACTAAAAGTCTTAACAGTGGGACCTAAAGGAAACCCTCAGAAATCTGTAATCTCCTAAATGTACACCAAAGTAACATCCTGGAGCCAATTCTGCAAGGAAATGTGCAAATGTATTTGTGTAGGCAGACGTGAATGAGCACAGCCTTATGTCCCAGCGTAGTCTGTTTGTGCACCGATGGGTCCAAATATTGATTCAGCCTGTCGGCCTTCAGTCTGTCAGAGGACAAGCAAAGTTTGTACCCAGCAGTTCATTTAAAATAATGTATTTCTTTTTTTTTTTTTACTAAACTGGTGCCTCACTCTGTCTACATTATTTTCTTCATCCATCTTATGAAGCTTCCTTTGTGTTCAGTAGACTAAACAGATGTGACAAATCAAGCTGATTTAGGGTTAATGTTTACCATCTCGTGTGGTATGTGTGTCCATTGAGCACAAAAGTCGAGAAACATCTTTAGTTACTTCGTGTTTGTTAATAATTGACTAATTGCAGACTGAAAGAAAATGTTCATAGAATAAAGTTCTGACTCAGAAAGTTGTATAATTCTCGTGGAACCTGTCTAAATAAACTGCCTCATAAACTGTGATAGCTTCAGAAATAAACAATTTATTTCCACTTCTGTTGGTTTGTGTTTCTATAAACTTACCACAGTGTTTAAATGAGTACAATAAAGAGTAGTACATTAGATTTGCCTTGAATTGCTAATAACAGCCAACACAACAATAGATAAATCCTTCTGATCTTACAGCTTGTAACTAGAGTAGATTGCAGTTTTTATGGTGTAATGTCCCAGATTCAAGTTTATCTTCTAAATTACATTAACCCTTGTTGGAATACGTTCTTTAATTTTGTGAAAATAAGTGTTCCTCAGGGTGAAACTGAGCACTTTACTGAACTGTTTCAAAACACAATTCTTTTTAATATTCTTTCCACAATAAACTCATCAGTCTTTTAGGGCTACTTTACAAATGTCTGCAGTCACGCAGAGGTGCTGCTTTGTATTAAACGTTTACTCGTGCAACATGCCAGTGTGTTGTTGCTCTTCACATCCAAGATGAAACAGTTTTGTAGAACGAGATGAGAGACGCAACTCTACAGCAACGTCCAGTCAGGAAAGACGTACCTCGTTTAGCGTAAGGGGAAGTGCGTCCCAGTCCATTTTTATAGAGGCTCTCAAATATGAAAGCCAAAGCATCACCAAGTGAGTTAAGGTAAAATCAAAAGTATAGAGGTAGAAATCTTTTTTTAAAGCTTTGTTTTATAATATGATAAATATGGGATCAGAAAATCCATTTATAATGGGTTTTCTATATGAACAATTTTACCCCTAAGGAACACTAGATATTAATGCCACTGTGAGGGTACAGGTTAGAAACAAAATCTGACTAAATTAAAAAATGTAGACCGATTTTAGACTTTGAAAAAATAAACAAATAATAAACAAGTTTATTGACAGCACCAATAAATAAATAAACAGTGAGTGATTTTTCCCCATAAGACAATTTATGGGTTAAATGCAGCATCTTATCTGAAAAATAGAAGAAAAAAAGTCTTATTAATAAATCTTCTGACAAACCTCTGAAATATAAAGTAATTAGTTTATTTACAAATAAAAAAAAAAAAAAAAAATTGTATGCTTTTTTATGATTGTCTATTGTAGTCATCGTTATCCACTGTTGTCATCACTCTTAATGAGTCCCTGAGACTCAGTAGGATTAACCTGTCTAAATAAAAGTTGAATGAATGTGGCCCTCATAGATCTTTGGTGGTTTGTGTGTGCGGGGTGGGGGGGGGGGACGCCCTCCTTGGATAATAGTGGGGAATCACTTTCTCATATATATTGTATGTACTTGTTGTGTTTTAAACACGAGACATTAATGTTATAGACTCAACAAACAGGAAAAAAGTGCATATCACAAATGACACTTTAAAGGCTCCATATTTATGTGCTGTTTTTAAATAACCAGAACTCCTGAAAACATTTTAACTGCGTATTGATCGTATATATACATTTTACTTTCCTTTAATGATGTTTGTATCAGTGTTTTGTCCTTTTTCCGGCTGAAACGCGCTTCCTCCCTCCACTCCAGCAGGTGGCGGTATGCACCTGTAAGACAAAGCGTTGTCCCGTGACGTCACCTCTAATCAGGAAGTAACTCACCAAAACAAAAGCTGAGCTGGATTGTTTTGAGTGCGCAGCACCTGTCCCACCACACTAGTTGGTTCGAAGCTGAAATAATTAAAACCTCAGTCTACAGTTTTCAGTTGTTGTTTTTGTTAGTTTGGTCTGGTTAGCATTAGCAGCTAATTCTGCGTTTCCTGCTCAGCATGGAGGCTCGCTTCACCAAAGGCAAGTCTGCGATTCTGGAGCGGCCTCTGAGCCGACCCAAGACCGAGGTGAGCGTGAGCGCCTTCGCCCTGCTCTTCTCGGAGGTGGTGCAGTACTGCCAGGGCCGGGTGTACTCGGTGACCGAGCTGCAGGCCCGCCTGGCCGAGCTGGGGAGGAGGGTGGGAGCCAGCCTGCTGGAAGTGCTGGTCCTGAGGGAGAAGAACGGCAAGAGAGAGACCAAAGTGCTGAACATCCTGCTCTTCATCAAGGTGTGCACCCACAGTTACATCAAGGTGTGCACCCACGGTTTACATTAAGGTGTGCACCCACGGTTTACATTAAGGTGTGCACCCAC